CTCTTCCTGTGTCCCTTCTCGAGGACATACGTGGCCTTCCAGAAGGGAAGAGAAGAAATGACTCATCAGCACTAAAGATGGAAAAGATGGAAAAGATATCCTAGCTTTTGCTCGACTGCTTTAAACCGGACAGGAGCTCAAGAGAGAGCACCGTGCTTGGAAAATCCCACGCTGCGTAGGGTCCTCGAAGGGGCTTGCTCCTTCCAGGCCTCTTTTTGCGCCAGCCTGGCCTGAGCAGGGTTCAGCTGCGGAACCCACTTGTCCCTGCTGGGAAGGAGATCCAACAGCACCTTGCTGGGGAGAGCGAAGAGGAGGCAGAAAACCTTGAGTCACGGTGTGGATAGTCACTCACCTGCTCGCCAGGGCCTGGAGTTGGTGGAGGTGTCCAGGGCTCTTTGCATTGGGAACAAAAGCAGTCACTGAGAGCAGGTGGCCTCCCGCCGCTCTCAGGGAGGGGGTCACATCCCACATTACTCTGAACCCCTGCACTTTCCCAGGGTCCTCATCTTGCCCGCGGGAGCAAGCCCTTGGGGTGGCAGTGGTGCTGCTGGGTGTCTGGCTCTCAGCCGCGGCGTGCCGGGACTGGTGAGCACAAGGGTTCCCTGCTGGGTGTTTCTAATACGAATCAACGGCAGAAGATTTAGGCCTGCTGGGCTGTGTAGGGAGGAGGAGATAAGCAGTAGAAATTACAGCCGCTACTGATGGAGGACTTGAAAAGCTGAAAATCCCACAAAGGGGCTGAAGGGGCTGGTTGCTAAAGAAAAAAACAGCTACCACCCTGAGAATCCCGTTTCCCCTCTGTGTCTGAAAATAAAAAAGCAATTCAGGGGCTTCCTTCTTGCATTGCCAAAAACAGCGAAAGAAGCAGCCCACAACTCTGTAAATACTGCTGGTTTCTTCCTTCCTCTCCGGGCGCCTTTCACTCCTCGTCCGCGGGGCATGGAGGGCTGCCAGCGCAGGCTGCGGCCCGGCGGCTGCCGCTGCTCCAGCACGCTTGCACGCCAGGCCGAGAGATGGGCCCCCAGCGGCACGTCGCCTGGGGACGGGGCTGCTTAGTTGTCCTCTCTCGGTGGTTTCCCCCGCTGGCTTCTCCTTTCCGAGGCTGGTGTGCTCATCTTTGCAGATAAAACTGGGATTTTAGCGTTGATCAGCTGTGGAGGTGCTTTCCTTTTTGTTATTATTAGTCTCTTTAGCTGCTTCATCCCTAGGAAGGGCTGACGGTGCTACATGCCTGGGGTTGTGCTCCCGCAGTGTCCTTGTCACACTGCTCTTCTCCAGCTGGGTTTTGTTTGCGGCTGGTTCGGTTTTGGGTATCGGCTCCTGCAGCCGTGTTGCCCTGGCAGCGCT